ACTTCGTGAGGCATGCCGGGGCGGGGCGGGGGTGCGGCAAGCATGGGGTGGTGGCACGGGGAGGGTTGGTGGGGGCCTGGTCGGGCGCCCTCGGTGGTGGGGGCTGCGCTGGTCCACGCCATGCAGGCTGTCCCGGGGAGGGAGAGCGCAAGGCCCCCATGGCAGGCCCCCAAGCCCTCTCTCGGTCCCTCCCCTCTCCCAACCCGCCAGACGACGATTCGATTTCTGGAAAATTCAGCGCGCGCTCCCTCAGTCCCTCTCTCTTTCTCCCTCCCTCCCTCTCTCTTTTTCCCTCCCTCCCTCTCCCTCTCTCTCTCTCTCTCTCTCTCTCTCTCTCTCTACCCTCGCCCGGGCGGCCTCACCACAGCGCAGGGCCGGAGCCCCTCTCCTGTTTGATTACAGCGGTTCGGCGGCGGCGCCCCCCTCCCGCCCCCTCCCCCTCGGTCCGGAGCGCGCCCCTGCCGCAGAACCCCTTCTGGCCTGGTGCGCACCGAGCGGCGGGGCTAAACCCCAACCCTGCGGAGGGTACCCGGCGGGGGCCGACCCGAGACCCTACGGGTGGGTAGCACACTACTTCCGACCACGACGGCAACCGAACCGCACCAATTTGCAAACAACTTGGCCGCCGCGCGGAAATACATGGCGAGGAGGCAGAGGCAGCAGTTGGCCAAAGGGTCTCGCCGAGTGTGTTCACAACAGCATTACAGCGGCGCGGCAGCGGCGCAGCAGCGGCCGGCGCGGTCATCCCCCGGCATTAACATTAACATTCGCGCCGCGCAACCCCTCTCCGGAGCAAAAAGCGCCGGGAAGGGGTGGGGTTGGCGGGGGAAAGAGAGGGGGAGATAACGTTTATGCGTCGAGCCAGTCTTTATTCCACAATTTTGTGCATTCCATAATAATTGAGGCCACTCCCGCCCCGCCACGCCTCGCCCCGCCACGCCACGCCCCGCCCTCACCAATCTGCTCTGCAGAGAGCGCCCCGCAGCCGGCTGGTCGTTGACCGCGGCACGCGAGGGGCCACAGGGGGGTGGTTGGGAGGGGAGGGGGGCAGGACAGGAGGGGCAGAGCTGCTGCTGCTGCTGCTGCTGGGACTGGCATAGCCGGGAAGGGGAAGCAGGGGGCTGCGCTGTGCGCACCCGCCCGCGCGCTGCTTCCGTTCTCATGTCGCACACATCTCTGCGTACGTACTTGCCATCCCGAGCGGAGCGGGTCGGGGTCGGCTGGGTACCCGTGCACGCCAGGCAGCGCAAGCAAGCGGGTACCCGACCCACGACGCCCCGCAACGACCACAGCGCGGGGGACGCGCACGCTCACCCCACACACCTAAAGGCCAAAGTAAAAGAGGTACAAATGAAAATGTGTGTGTGAAAAGAGAGAAAGAGAGCGAGAATCCGTTCGGCGTTCTTCAACGCTCATCTAGTACATCTACCCTTCCCGCACCTTCCATTACTACTGGCTGCAAACGTTTTTAGGAATGGCGGGACGGGTCCGTACAGCGACGCTACATCTCGGGTTAAACAAAAAAAGAAGCAAGTTCTTTTCCCTCCTTTTCACGTCGCGGAGCTTTACTGTAAATGTTTTCGCGCTATTGGAGGGCATTCCTTCGCGTTCCCGATTACTTCCCCCTTTCTGTCGGCTTCCAGGACTACGAGACCCTGTAAACTGATTGGATACAACGGCCCAGCTCGCGGGGTTTCTTTACGTTGTGATTAGCGCGATCATCGCCAAAACTTTGGACGGAATCTTCCCTCCCTTCTGTTGGGCACGAAAACTGGGAGATGAAGGCTTTACTGGGGAGAGGAGAGGAAGCAGGGTGCGTTGTGTAAGTTTGATAATTGTTTTGGTTCAATCGTGTCGGTTCTCTGTTGCTTTATGCCGCTTTAGGCGCGCCAAGCTTGTCGGAGTGATTAATCAATCGTGTTCGACGCTTTATTGTGGGTTGAGTAGAGATTTGATCCGCTTGCTTCGCACTTCCCCTTTCGGTGGGGCCTCTTTTGGGCGGGCGGGGGGATGGAACATAGTTCAAGATTCATTACTACCACGCGTCAGTGCTCTTATCTTTTTTTCCCCCTTTCGAAGGAAGCAACATTTAAAGAATGTCTTCAGGACATGGTGGGGTTGGTGTATGGGGGTCGGGGGCGTGGATGTGGTGGGATGTGAAGTATGTATGGCATGGCATGAGTTCCACTCCGCTCCAAGCGCAGCCTTGTTTACTGTTTTAATAGATGAAATATGTGTGTACCTGACTGCCGGCCACACTCAAAAAAAAGAATCATTGCACCAACGACATGAG